AGATGTATTTTTCAAATCTTGATTAATAAATTTTGGTGACATAAATAGGTCTGGTTAGTTCCAAGAGTAATTGTCTTCACTTGCAGAACATTATTTCTGATCACCAGAAAAATAATGTGATCAACTCCTTTCACATCTGTTCATTAAATGAAAAGGAGAAAAAAAAGCAGGGCGAATTTTGTTTGAAAAGAAACAGGAAGCATATGCTTAATATCACTTAAGGAAACCCCTAGCCATCATAAGGTTAACATCAAATCACAAATGCAAAACAGTCATTATTGTATTTACTCAAAAATTTTCTTTCACTTTACTAGCTTTTTAGGTTTTCAGTTGAAACATGCATTTTTTTCAGGGTTCAGTCTAGCTTCTTTCATCAGATGCTATCATAAGAAAGGCTGTCTGGGGCAACATTTGTTTACATTTATTAAAAATAATTGTCATGTGTTTACATAGCTCCTTTGATCTAGAAAAATCCCCAAACACTTAGTAAGTTATGCTTAAAAGGGTTACTTCCTCCACCCTGAACAGAACTGTGTTGGGACTGAGGCATGGCAGCAGATTAAAAATGCATAGAAATATCATAATTGGGTTGGTCCTCACCCCCTCAGAGCACCATCAGTTTTCCATGAGCTTCAGAACAGTTACTGGGACCATAAAGGTGGTTTGGACTTTAGAGCAAAAGGTAGTGAAAATACTCTCTTCTTGGAGATTCCCTGTTTTTCATGCACTTTGCAAATAAAGAGGCAGTGGTACCTACTGCACGAAGCACAGGGCTAGCAGTACCTCAGCTGGACATACTGTTTCCAGTTTGGGGCATCTCGTTCCAGAGAAGACACTAATCAGCCAAGCAGAGCCAGGGGAGAGCAGAAGAAAGGATGGAAGGAAAGCACGTGAGGACTTGTGCAGAAAGGTAGAAGGGAACTGTTTGTTTAAAAAAGAGAAGGCTGAGGTGAAACATGGTTAAATATGCAAAACACGTGAAAGGCTGCTGAGAAGAGGAAAGGAATAAACCTGTCCATGGGGATAGGATAAGTCATGAACTTAGCAAGGGAGATCTGGTAAAACATTAGGCAGTAATTCTGAACATCAGAAATGGTGAAATTCTGCAGTAGATGTCTGCAGAGACTCTGGAATTGCTATAATTGCAGGGTTTTCTTGAGATTGGATTAGACAAAAATGTCAGGAGGGGTTTAGATCTTGTTCCTGTCTTTGAGCCAAATGGGCCAAAAAGACTCTCCTGGTCCAAACTTCTGTCCTCCTGTGGTGTCACAGATGGTCAGATGAGCCCTGCTTAGGTGGGTGAACCAAGTCACACTAAAAATTAGGTTTTGAGCTCTTTGAGAAATGTTCACAGGCTAAACCAGAGCAGAAATTCCTTCAATGGGTTGCATGTGTGTTTGTTTTATCTTTCAGCTTTAAAATGCTCCCAAATCATCAAGGTGCTTGAGCACCCACCCAGCTTAGAGGGCTTGAATCATGTAATTGGATTCAGTAGGGTCTGTGCACAGAGCCTGTGCCTGAGGCCCCATTTTTGGGGAAAGTTTTACACATTCTAATGATGGTAAGACAATGCATGAGTAATGCACCCATTTGAAAAGCTGCCCTATTATCTGATCAAAAGTACAAGCTCGTGAATACGATACCGCAGGTCATTTGGCTAAAACGTACCTGGAGTCTTCCAAGTTTTTAAAACAATCCCATACACAGAAGCAAAATAGAGAGGTATGAACAGCAGAGCCGGTGGTTGCCTGTTCACCACAGATCATGTGGAATGTTTTATTAAAGATATTTTTATCAGACGCAAAAGACTGAAACACAGAATATCCTGGGCTGGCAAGAGAAGACGTGATAATAATTTAGATTATTATCCCACAGATCTGTGATTCATTTTTATTATTCTCTGTGCTCATTTCTGCAACGATCAAGTCCTCCCTGAGGAAGGTTTCTGGTTGAGTTCAGGGGACTCTGCTGCTGCTTTCATCCTCGGGGAAGGTCTGAGGGTCAGTGAGATGCTACGTGCACATGCAAACGTGCTCAGAGGGAGTTTGCAGAAGTCATCTCCTGACACCAGGGCCACCTCTAAGATTAGGTTGTAATCTAACCTGGCTGTCCAGGGCCCTTCTGTAACCCCTAGGCAGTGAAAGACCCTGAACAAGAGTAAGTACTCCCTAGAGACTTGCACTGCAATGAGGTGGACCACCTTCTGGAATGGTTTCTCTCCCCATTCGCTGTAGAAACAGCCTAGTTACAAACTAGGACCAGACATTTTACAAGGAGTTGTAGCATTTGGTAAAAGGCATCATTCTTTTTAAATATCTCCGAACCACTTTGGCAGTCAGCTAAAAGTACATTTAAGAAAATGTTTTATACGAATAAACAGTGATTCATTTGCTGTTAGCATGCTTTGCTTTGTACACATTAATGGAAATGCACTGTTCTTCTCTTGTAAAGCACTTAAGGACTTTTTCAAAATAAACAACCCCACCTAACTATTTATCTTGACAAGAATGCATTTATAGCAATCTAATGTCTTGAAAACAGAAAATTGCCTCATTGACTGAGGAGAAGTGATCAAAAATTCTCAGGTCTTTCGACAGGAAACTCCAGGGTCTTAAGTAAACTGGGGGGGGGTGGTGGTTTCCCTAAAAAAATACCTGTTTTCAAGGGAAAAAAGAAAATCAATAAAAAAACCCCAAAAAAACACTTCTGTAAGTTGACTAGAAAATGGAAACATCATACAGAAACATAAAATGTTGATTTAAGGCTGCTTTAGGAATCTCTTAGATGTAGTTGGCTGATGAGTGGGCTTGTGATTCTTTTATGGGCGTCCTGGCCAGCCCTGGTACACAGGACATCCCTGAAGAGCAGAAATACAGTTTATGCAAAGGGACATTTTAATCTCACTGGAAGATCAAGCCCATAGAATGTGTCAGGAACAGGATACACATAAACTGCAAGTCTTTATGACATTTTGGTGATGTTTTTTAAATTGATGTTGAAAACCAGACCCTCCTTGTAGTTTAAAATTTAATTTAGGGCTACATTTTGTAGTTCCATAAAGTGACAATCAGTAACCAAAAGATGAGGACAAGCACCTACCCTTACGTATCTTAGGGAAACTTGGTACAGGGGAAAAACCCCAAAACTGTGATCCTGTTATCAGTGCTGCCAGATCTGTGCACCACATCATCACTCAGCAGGATAAATGAGGTCTGGATCAGAAACTGGAGCCTGACTGCATTTCTGTTGGTTTATGCATAGAGTGCAGTGCCTCGTTTTGTCAGGTTTACTTTAATAATGCTTTGTGTTCACTGTGGGAGTACCATTCATACTTGATGTTACTTACATTACAGGAGCTTGGAGACACAGTGCCTGGTCTGGTATCATTCTTGCCAGCACTAAAGCATCTGCTCAAAAAAAGCTGGACAGTTTTGAAGCAGCAGCATTAGTTTATCACTGATCAACTCTTTGCATTAAGTGACTTGCAGCAGTTTTGATGCAATATAGCAGAAGCTCTAAAGCTATGTGTCTTATATCATCACTTCAAGACATAAACCAACCACTGCCCTTGGGAATTGAGATAAGAGCTTTCTCTGACCAGCCTTCATTTCAGAATTCTCTGTTTACAGCAGTTTGTTCCTCTGGAACAAGCACAGCTCCTCACTGTCAAAAGTCCTAATGCTGGTTAGATGGATTATCTGCTCCCATGAAGCAATTCCTATGTCTTTAATTCCAGACTGCCTTTTCTTTTTACTCTAATTCATTGCACATTAGTTAAGATCACTTCTAGCTACAGAACAACTATCCCATCCAGAAGATGTGGTGACAGTATAAAGGATGAGGGAAGAAATGAAGTGACTTCTCCCAAAATCTGGAGTGAAGTGTAATGTGCAGTGATTGTCTGTGGGATTTGAAGTTGACCCTCATGTGTGTTTACCAACGCCCTGATCTTCTCAGTTTGTGATTGATTCAGCACATTTAAAGCATCTGTTCTAAAATCTGTCTTGGTATTGCTTAGACAGAAAAAGACAGACAAAAGTCTTCAGGTGCTTCTGAATTCTATTTCTCTGCACGAATCTGAAATAAGGTATTGTTCCTTTTATCTGATATTATGCAAGACACGGCCTTTTTCTTCCAAGGTCAGGATCTCGGATACTGTAGCTAAATATTTATAGGACTGCATAGCTTCTTACCCCATAAAAAAATTATTTGACAGTCGTTTTCAGTGCCTCCAAATCATGAAAGATTTAGAGAATCTGCAGGTATTAGCGTCACTTCTTGTTTTAAGGAGAACTTGCTTTTTCACTCCTTGCTCCTCAGCAGAATGTCTTGGGTTTAAGTCCAAAATCCACCCTGTGCAGTTTGCATGCTCAGCTGTGCTGCTCTGTGACAACTGGTGGATTATGGATCATCCAGTAATGGATGCAATGGAGGCATTTTATGAAATGGAGATTACAACTTAAAACTTCCAAATCAATTGTAAATGGACCTTTTTGACCTCCAGTGTCATGGGAATCATGATGAATTCCAACCTGCAAATTCAAATCAAAGTACTAACTCGAGCTACAATCAATAAGCAATCACACAGCTATTGAGGCAAATCCACAGGCAGGGAGACTTAGCACTGACTGAGTCTGCTTTTGACATTGTGACTTGATCCAAAATAGCTTAAAGCCAGAAAAAGAAATGAACCTGCTTGGTCTCCTGTACTCAAGGTTCTCAGTTGTGTGAGGGGATCTAGAGAAATTTTTTAAGGCTTGTGAAACAGGGGAAGGATGTGATTTGTGGCCTCTCTCCTGGACATAGTAACCAGGCCTTGGTGAGTAAGACATGTCACTCAGACGTGTCTGGTAAATTGTGAGACGCTTGGTGGGAAGAAGGTGCCTAAAAACATCACCATAATAATAACAATAATAATAATAATAATAATAATAATAGTTGTGGTTGCTACCACTTGGAATGACAGTTTACAGAGTAGAAATAAGGGTTCTGCTGTTTAATTTCCTTCTCTTGTGTTTTCTTTTAGCACCACCACGTTGCCTTCCTATATCAGGATAACCAATGGCTACATCACAGTCAAGCCTCCCATCTGGATTTCAAACCAGCTGGATCAGAGACCGCGTTCCGATCGCCCGTCCCAGCCTCAGCCCACAAGCTCAGCTGCAGCCAGTCTTTTATGGCCATCAATAACATTTCCTCTCTGCATGACCATAGCTTCTTTTCTCCTGAATCTACTGCAGCCCTCCTGACCACATCAGGATTACGTGCAATCCCTTGGAATAGAGAAGAGAGATAATTTATGAACGAATTGGAGGTTAAGACAACAACATTTACAAGCTGGACCTTCTCAGTGACTCAGTAGTGCCTTCTAGCTGATTTTTGTCTCTTTGCCCAGATACATTTTGAAATTCTAAAGCTTTATTGTAACACTGACTTACATCTTCTTTTTGTAGAAGGATCTTTATTTCCCATAGTGCTATGGGGTTTTGTAAAATATACATGTTCATATAAAGAAAAAAAAAAGAAAAAGAAAAAATGTATTTATTCGACTGGTAAACTTATTTTTCTTGTTGTATATGTTAATAACATCCCTATTAATCAGTAGCGATGGTGAAACAGATAAATTAATATTTTCTATATTCGTTTTCTGACAACTCTGCAAATGTCTGAACTGACACCAAATGAATGCTTTCTTTGTTTCTTTAATCATTACTTTTTGCAACTGTCCAATAAGTACATTTCTGCTGAACTTCTTTATTTTACTTTTTTTATCTCATTAGCATAGCTTACACTGAATGAAGCAGATCCTGCTCTCTGTGGCCTATACCCATTAGAAAAAGAGGTGCATTCTTAACTCATTAGCTACTACAACCTAAAATACCAGTTATTTTTCTATGACTTAGTAAGTCATTAGTCAAGATAATCCTCTACATTCCCCTGCTTTCTTTAACTAAACTATTTACTTTCTTTGGAAATTAGCAATTTCCCTCTTAGCCCTGGAATTAATTCATTAGCTAACACAAATTAAGACACCTTTTTCTTAATAAAAAATTGCTTTTCAAGTCTGGAATAATCCTACTGAAATTATTTTCTTCTCTCCCTCATTTTATATCAACACAAGCCTACAACCTTTCCCAGCATAAATGTGAACAGAGCTTGGTCTGTCTGTAGGGTATAAAGATGTAGTGTCCTGTTAATCTATAGAACTTCCTTGTACTGATTGTATTGATGCAGATGGACAACCTGGAGGCAAAAACCATCTACAAATTCCCTTTCATCTTGCTGTTATGAGCTGATATGTCTGTGCTGAAATAATTATGACTTGTCCAAAAAGACCACAGGAATCAAATTAACCCCTGTGTTACAGAGACATGCAGAACATTCTTCCATTTGTACACTGTGGTACCTCTGCTGACTTGGATGAAAAAGTTATGACACCTTACATTCACTGAAAAATTTGCTCCCTATCCAAGCAGTTAATGAATGCAATGAACAATATCTATGGGGGAAAAAAAAAACACATGCCATCTTAAAAACTATTACGTTTAATAAGGCATGTTGGTGTTTTTTCACCACCAAAACATGATGAAAAATCCCTTTGGATGCAAGAGTTTCAACTAGAAAATTAGTTTTGGGCTGGAATAGTGTTTTTCTTTCTAAGTCATCTACAAACCAAAAGTCCAAAATATATGATGAAAACATCACAGTTAGAAGTCTCAAAACCAGAAATATACAATACAAGGGGTTTTTTTAACGGAAAAGCAAAGCTTTTTCACCTTGGGAAAAAAAGATAATGCTGATGATGATGATTATAATAACAATACTGATAAAATTCTGACTGAAAACAGTCCTGTAAGTTCCCCAGCAGCCCTAAAGCCTGATCTCCAGGGCTGCAGATATTCCACGCAACCTGAAAGTCTCTGCAGCAAGAGAGAGTTCAGAATTCATGGTTTGCTCGTGATCATACCAATTAATTCAGGAAAGCAGGTTAGAAAGTAACTAGACTACAAAAGTCACATGGTTTCCTTTGAAACCATGATGAACTACTGAGGATTTCCCTCGCGTATCCCAGCTCATTGCCTTACAAAGGCCAGGGATAATACAGATAACTTGACTTACTGGACACCACAACCCCCAGCCTTTGCTCTGTTTTTGACAGAAAGTTGTGTAGGTTTCTAGTCAGTTTAAGTGGGTACAGCAGACAGTGCTATAAGCTTCCCCCTTTTTCTTTTCAAGCACAGCAGATGATAAGGCTGAATGGAAAACTTTGAGCCTTGCCTCAAATGTGAGATTCAAAGAGACCCTCTGCATACTTTCATATTGTGTATTTTGGCTAGCAGCAGATTAGAAATGTTAGTTTTGGACAGAAGCCATTCACCTTGCATATTTATTGCACAGAGATGGATATTGGAAACATATTTTGAGAACTTTCATTTTGCTTTTATTTGAGCTATTACCCTAGAAATGCCTTCATTTGAATATAATGGTTTAACAGACCTTCAAATTCAACCTTAATGTATTTAAAATAGATTATTGGTTCTCCTGCTGTGTTCAAGGCAAAGATGAAAACTGAATTATAATGTCTTATTTACACAAATGGAACTGGAAATAGGGTAGGCAAATCTTAAGGCTGATGATAAGTTACATAGTAAAAGTGAACAGCCAACAAACCAAAGCCCACTGAATTTTATTTGTTGTAATCAAATTGAATCCAGAAATTATTCTGTGGTACTATCCCAGGAATAATTCCAGGTGATGGAAAACTTACGGTATAAATAGACAAGACCATATGAAGATAAGGGAGAGAAAAAAAGGGCAGAAAACAGAAACAACTTGTGCAAGACCGTAAGGAGAACCACCAACAGGACCAAGACTAGAAATTACAGTTTTATCATTTCCCAATCTGTGGGTTTCTCCATAAGCCTCTGGGGCTTTCTTTTTTTTAATATTAGGAACACACACATCTCTCCACACTCACGGCTGTCATCATACTGCAGAGAACAGTCACTCCGTTGTCACCAATGAGGCTTTCTGAGTCACTCCTCCACTGGACAATTCAATAGTCATTAGCTCAGACACCGTGGTGTGTTTGGCTGTCTCAGGGTGATATAGCTTGGATGTCGAAGTATGTTTTTACTTCGCATTTCCTGTCATTTTGCCTGCAATTCCATGAAATTAATGAATGTTACTGGATCTCACCGAATTTCCCTTGTGCTGGCGCCCCACATTTATCCTACTGCAGTGCAGGTGTCAGTGCAGGGTGTCTCCTGGATTTGGTATCTGCACACCTAGAAGCAGTTAAGTCATTTGATCATCTGAGCTTTCTCTGGTTAAGGGAGGAGGCATGACTTACATTAAATATGAAGTTAAGTAGGTTCCTGTAGGTCTTGGCTCAGGAACCCCACGTGAATGGCTTCAGCACAGCTTCCTAACCAAACACTTCTTTTATTCTGATGCCTTACCCTGAAGTATAACTGAGGGTCACTTTATTCAATACATGGCATGTAAGCAGAGCAATACTGGATAATGAAACCCTCACTGTGGTTGATGAAATGGATTGTTTACTAATCAGCTACAGGAGCTGATTCATAATTATAACTGTTTTATTAATTAAAACACAGTAGTACTGGTTAGCGCAGATCTGTGCACACCCACTGCATTGGATCATGATTAAATTCACTGTGAGTTTAGAAGCTGTGCACCAGATTTGATACATTCTCTTGAAGCAACACTGACTACCAGCTTCACAGGGCTTCAGCTTCCTCTGTGAGTTTCTCAAAAAACTACACTGTTTTCTTTCTTCCAAAGGAAAGCTCAGATTCCCGTGCAATCACAAGATTACAAGAGCAGGAGATTTAACAAAAATATCCACGCCCACTACATAAAAGAGCAAACACTGGTGATACTTTTTAGCTCTGAGAACACAATCAGGAGTCACACAGTGTCTGGCAATCTAGGACACGATTTTGGATGAGTCCAAAGCTCAGTGGTCATATGATTCATCTTTTCAACTCAGCTACAGCTGACACCAATACAATTCATGTTATATGTAACTGTAGCATTATAAACAAATGCTAATTAACTGCCAGGGTCTTCCCCTGGTGGAATAAATATCCCATGTCATCAGCAACAGATCTAACTTCCAATCTTTCTTTGTTTTAATGCTTTTCTTGCTTATGTCTAACTATGGATGCTATATTAACGTGCACTGCCACTTGGAGAACCAGTTAGTAAGCTGGGACAGAAGGTATTTTATATTTTATGACTGATGTAGTTTCTCTGCAATCCCTTGGGCTGTTGAATAATGCAATATGTCTTCTGGCAATAAATGATGAACATGATTTATGATAACTATGCTTTATACAGGTGTCAGAAATCTGCTTTGTTGAACTTCCCTTCCCATTCCTCCAAGCTCCACTGTAATTTAGGAACACCCAAGGTACAGAGTTGTATATTTATCTAAGTTCTTCAATATACAATTGTGGAGAAAGAGAGAGATGAAAGGAGGGAGAACTTAGTCTATGTTTAGTGCATTGATTAGTCAAATGATATGACTCAGTCATTACCATATACCACTGCTAGGGAGGAATTTCCCATCATATATTTATGTTAGAGAAACCAAAGTGCCAAAATTATTATCTCAGCATAAATGTTATCATTCCAAACTTTGCTTAGTACCGTATTTCTATATTATATCCAAAAATTATAGGGGCTTGTCATATCTCTGAAGTGATCAATGTTCCATGGAGTGTGCTAGAATTCAGCTTCAATTTAAGCTCGTTTCAGCTTAACTGAAGCAGAAAGTTAATTTGCCAGTGTTTGAGATCATAGAGGAATGTGTGTATGTGTGTGGATGTTTGTGTGGATGCGTGCATGTTGTGTGCGTGTGTTTTGTCCCAACCCAAATTCAGCCTTTCCTGTGACTAACTTTTCAGGAGGCACCTTAATCTAGCTAAAGGCAGGGAGGACTTTCCAATAAGTAGTAAATACTTTTCTTCTATCTGACTGGTTAACCATCCTGCAGATTCATGCTGCCACTGAATTTCAAATTGCATATTTGTCAGTTTTCAATTCAAATGTATTTCAAATATTTTTTTTCCTGTTCTGCCTCCTGCTTTGGTGAACTGTTTTGAAGAGTGTAATAAAAAGATGCTTTCTAATATTATTTTATCAAAATATTTTTGTAGCATAATATATTAATAAAATGTTATTATAAATTCATAGCACAATAATTTTGTGTGTCTTGATTCTTTCCTTTGCATTAAAATCTAGGAAATCACTAAAAAAAGGAACATTCTGTTTGTAGAGCTTAGGCATGCTGCTTCTCTTTTGCCCAGCATGGGATGAAGGAAACCATCTCTCATACAGGGCAAGGGGAGGCAGATCCAGAAAACCAGCCCTTCCACACAAACTAGCTGGAGTGTGTAGAAAAGCCCAGAAGAAGCATCCAGTCCTGGTGACTGCAGGAAGGTTTTTTCTCCCCTGCAAATTGCTGGTGCCCTTGGAACTGCTGTTTTTGCTGCTGTGCTGGCAGCAGAAAAATAAAATAAAATAACCCTGGAGTTGTGTCTCCATCTGGCATGGAGCAGAAGCTACCTCTCCACACCAAGACTCAAAGACACAGAGATTCACTCATTGTTCTTGGCATATTTCTTGCATGCAAATCCTGCCGTGCAGCTGACACTGCAGACTTCTTGCTGATCACAACATCATTGTTCACTCCTTAATTATGTGCTAAATCATTTGGTCTTTAACACGTTATTTTGAGAGGACTCCACCAGCGAGGCTGTTTTAGAAATACCCACTGTAGGAAATGCGGTGGGAGATATAAACACTTGAGCTGGTTTGAATGAGCTACCCCGGCACAGGAAGGAACTGCTGTGGCAAAATAGTAGAGAAACGCTCTAAAAAATAAAGTTAAAAAGAGTCCATCTATTGAAATACCAACCAGACAGTCAAAGCTGCTTGCCATCCTGTCTTTGGAGTCACGGCCCATCTGGAGAGTCTGTGTGGTCCAGCCAAGGGTTATCCCTGGCCATGGGCAGTCCCAGTCTGCCAAATCCTTTTGCTCTTAAGGGTCCTGTTCAGCCACAGGTCTGAAAATGAGACAAACCTTCAGCCAGCAGTGCCAGATCCTGGCTCAGTGGTGCCGTTTCCTTAAGCCTCTCCTTCCCTTGACCTCTCTCTGTGCTCCCAGTCTGTAATTGCAACTTTTTGCTCTAACTTGAGATCTTCCTGTTTATAGATTTGCACCAGGAAGAGGGGAAGCTGTGATGGGAAAAGCTCGGGGCAGAAGATTGGGTTTCTTGTGGACTGGCTTAGTATCTACATTCCCAACCAGCAGCCTATCTCCCTTTCGGATCAGTGCTTCCCAGTTCCCAAACCTCCTGAGTGCCACCCACAAGTGCTCCCCACGCTGAATGGGTTGGAAGGAGTATTTAGGTAAATTAGGCCTCTACGTGCTCTCCATGTCTGCTCTGTGATTTCCTGTTGTTTCAGCTTGTGACCTTTGAGCATTTTCCACTGAGAGTACAGGCTGCTGGCTGTACTTGTAATGTGTCTAACACCTTTTCTCTGCCTATTGCAAACTGCAGAATTAGGTGAGGGATCCCCGTGGGCCTGCAGGCCACAGGCAGGTGTCCCTGAGCAGAGGTTTGCAGCGCTGTCCTGCACCACTCTTTGGTTTCAGGCTAAGGATGGATGGCTTCTGCAGAGAAGCTCAGTGCATAAGTATCCAACTGCATCCTGCTGCCATATTTGCTGGTTGGTTTGTTTGTTTATTAATTTATTTTTATTTTAACTGTTCTTAAATTACAATGCAGAGTGTTGTTGTCTTCTCTTTCTGATGAGCGTTTAAATGGGGTAAAAAATACTCAGGAGACATTTTGCCTCTTGGGGTGGTATGAAATGCCTCTGCGCCTTCTTCTTTTGGCAAGTCTCTTTTTTTTTTTTTCTTTAAGCATTTTTTGCTGTAAGCAACAAGCTAATGAAGACTTCTGGGTTGTTTTTTGTTTTTTTTTCATAGCACACCTGTCCCCTTCACCTGGCTGCAGATATGTCAGTATTAATTAATGGTTTAACTTCTTACCTCTCCCTGAGCAGAGGTACTAATAGAGCTTTCCTTCTATCTGTATTTCCTGATGCTTTTTCTCATGAAACTCCTAAAAATTATTGTGTTTGAGGCCTCCAACCGTATGTGAACAGTTTCAAAAATTACTAGCCAAATGACAGTTCCAGCAGACTGATCACACAGCCATCATCATTTCACAAATGAGGCTACAGTATGACTGGCAGGCAAATGTGTTTGAGGCAGGATCTGAGGAGAAACACACCGTTGTTTGTGCTCTTAATCCCCACTGCTTCGGGGCTGAGCTGCTCCTGCTGGCTGCACCTGATTTGTGGAGGGAATGAACACATCATGCCAAGCTGGGGGGAAAGCTGGAGTTCAGCTTAATGTTATGGCAGTTGTCTGCTCCAGGCTCATCCCAGAGATGTGTTCATCCAATACACACAGAGGAGTTCCATAACATCTCCAAGGGCCCAGTAGGAGCAGAGGGGACCACTGAAAAATATATTAAAAGATCAGGGCCCAGTTGGATGTACACAGGGAATTCTCAAAGACAAAAATAACCAGACATCCACAAGTCTACTGCCAATAATGGAAACAATAGTAATGGGGAAAATAGTATGTGTTTAGATTGCTAAATAGTTGGATGGTGGGAATACAATTACTTAATATCACAGGGATCTTAAAATAAAAAACACTGAAACTTTATTGAGCATTGCAAATTCCGTATTAACTTTTTTAACATACAGTTTCTCCCATTACAAAGAAGCACAGCAAGTTCTGAGCACCTGACCCATTTGAGCAGCAGGTCCCAAACCTGCAACCTCAAACACCTTGCTCCACAGTACACCAGCATTTTGTTAGCTAAGACTGCACCTTTGGGTGCAAGCCATCATGCAAAGCACTGCACTTCATTCCATTTTCCACATTTTCGTTCCACTTTCCTTCCATTTTCTACATTTAACAGGGATACAGTTAAAATGGCAGAACAAATTGCACAGTCAAACCTCCACCAAGCTGATTTTCAGAGGAATGATAACAATAATAACTGCAACAGTGAGTTCATGCTCACAGCCCTCATTCACACCTGGAGCTCCCTGCCTTCTTGGAATGAAATGCAGTTTGAACAAAGGGACCAAGATAATGTGAGAAAACATCAACAACTGGCAAATAGAGGCAAAGCAAATGAAAGACAGATGTAGGAAGGAGAATGAGAGCTTTCTGCTTTGGTTTGCACTCATCCCATATCTTTGTTGTCCTAAGGAATATCAGTTTGTTGTCCTAATGATATCAGTTCTCCAGCCCTCTTTCATGACTTATGATGCACCTTTTCTCTCTTCATATGAAAGCCATTGGTTTTAATTATAATGTGATAGATACATAGCCTCAACCAGCCCTATGTGTCTGAATTATTTGAACAGCAGTGCTGGAGGGCCCTTTTTCTTTCCAGAGATCTCTGCAGCTGTTTGTCTTGGCAAGAGTAGGTTTGTCCCCAGATTCATCCTGTTTGAAGTCCTTTCCACCCACTCAAGTTAGCCTGAGCGTTCACCTCATTTTTAATGGGAGCATTATTATCTTCAGTTTTACACTGGCAAAAATAATTCTCAAAAGGGGAACAGACAGAAACTCACACCTACCCATCTTTCTTGAACAAACTGTGTTCATCCAAACCGTAGGAAGCAAGCACTTCAAGGAATTTGCCAAGAATTGTTTTTCTCTTAGCAACGGTCCAGACCAAAAGTGAGCACAGATATAATCTGTGATATCATCTCTCAAACAGAAGGATCCTCTTGAAGGCCCATTAGTTCAGACAACGTGTGCTCTGCAGGCACGGTGGTGGTGGTTGTGTAGTTGTATGATGGACAATGCTGGTTGTGTTCTCTGGCTGTGCACGGGCCAAGTGTGGCCCCGAGGGCAGGAACCAGACAACACAGTAATCTTACCCTGTTGTTGCCTTTTCCTCCAAGCAGTTCATGAAGAGTCAAACGTTTGTTCTTGACCCTGTCTGTGGCACTGAGTCTGATCTGCCACTGCTGGGTCCCCCAGGGACATCTCTCCAGGAAGAGCTGGGAGTAGAGGTAAGCTTGGCTCCCCATCGCTGCGGGTTTAATGATGACACACCAACACCTGGGTCTCTCTGTGTGCTGGAGCAGGCCTGTAAAAAGACACGTGAAGTGAGATCATGATGCATGTGGAGAGTAAAATTCTGAGCCCTGGTTGGTTTCTCTTCATAATACTTACTTTTCCTTGAAACCTCAACCTTCCTGGGCCATCTTTATCCAAAAGCATTAACACCAAGGGGGGTGGAGGGGTGGAAAAGGTTAAAGTATTGGTGCTAATGGAAGACTCAGACATGAAAAGAGTATCCCAGGTTTGGAGCCTCTGTTGCCTGCTGCCAGCAGCAGGCCCTGCTTGAAAGGAAAGTACCTATCTCAGCATGCAGTCAAGAGGAATAATAAAACTCTGGTCATTTGGAGCCAAGGAAGAGGAGAAAAACACTCATAAATGTGCAGCTTATGTTTCTCTTGAACTTTCAAAATAATTTTTTCCCCCACCCAGAGATTAGTCACAGAAGCAAATGATACCGTATCTGGGAAAGAAGTTGGATGGATGGAAATGATCTCTGGGGAGAAGGAGAGGAGGAGGGGAGCAGACACATACTTCTGTCTCTCTTTCTCACCTTCCCCTTTCTCTGAGACTGAATGTACAAATGAAAGAGTTGGGAAAAAGTCAGGTGTTTGGGTCCAACCTAAAGCCATTGGAGGCTTTGAGGCCATCCTCAAACCAGTGAGGTTTTTCTGCTCCTGTTGGGTGGATTTGGGGAGCTGACCTCACCACTGGTGACCCCCTAGAGCTCCCACTCTGCAAGAAGCTCGATTTCTCATAGAGGCCCCCATGAAATGACTTTCAACACATTTTTCCAGATTCAAATGAAAAAGAAAAAGCTAAGGGACTAATGAAAGTATGCTCATAAATGCCACTCTCTGGGAAAGGCTATGGTTTTCGAAATAAAATTCCTGGTCCTCCAAGTTCTCCTGAAGCCCTGAGTCGGACTTCACAACGCCCAGGGGTTTCAAGTAAAGAACAATCTCAGCCTCATCTTAATAAGGTGGGAAAATGAGGTGGACAGTGGATTTTACGACATGCCTGAAATCACAAGGGACATCTACGGGAGCAGGATTCAGAAGGCAGCCCTTCCTCTATGGTACACTGTTCTCCAAAGCATGGTTCATTTATTTCAATTAATAGACCTTTATAAGGGCTCCCCTGCCACCTTTTTTGGCATGAATTACTGCAAAGACAGTGAATTAAAAGCGCCAAAGGGCATAATTTTCTTTTAGTGTTTAAAGAAGCTGTTTCCATAAAAGCAGGCTATGTGAAATTTGCCCAAAAGAGTAAACTTCGGAATAACATAGAGGATTAGAACAAAAAATAAACGTCTTAAAAATCTTTTCTTAAGCTTGACCTGACAGTTCAGCTCTGGAGTGGTCTTTCTGTGTAATGCCAGTCAAGTAGTTGAACCAGGACGTGTTCCTGTCACAACATTCACTCAAGTGTTGCAGGGTTATGGGTTTCTCCAACCACGAGATGAAATTCTTTAAAAGGTATAAAGCTAATGTGTGCAGTCCACTGTCTCCCCATTTTCTCTCTTTAAAAACATTCAAGGTAGGATTCAGTTCAAGTACCATGCACTGTCTGAAAGCCATCACCCAAACTTGCCTCCTTCAGTGGTGCCACCCAGTCTGACTCGGCCCTTAGAGAAATAATTCCGGCTTAAGTGACTTGCCTGCTATTTGAACAGATGCTCTCATGCTTGGTCCCAGTCAGCTTCTGCCCTAAGAACGCAGTTGCATGGGTGATGTTTGCAAAGGCATTTCAGTTTATCTCCTATAAAGGGAGACCCACTTCAAAATCATTTAAAAACCAAACCAAACCCAAAATTCAGCAACTGACTCATATTCAGTGTTTGAGCAGCTCCACTGTTTGCAGTGACCACACAAAATATCTCTGATGTGGCAGGGACTCCCAGGCAAGCTGGGAATTGGACAAGGTGCAAAATGAGCTGTAGTCTCCACCTAAAACACCTCCACTGCAGGATCAGCCCAGAGCTTGACCATTTCAAAAATTACTATTTCATAGAATTGTAGCCCTCCATCATTATCTGCATAACATATTTTGGTCAAAATTGCAGGACTGAGTGATGCTGAGGCATTCAGTGGACATCTCTAACCTTGGCTGGCATTTATATTTTTTATATCTAGCCAGCTAGCTATACCTCAGATAAACTCAAAATGATCTGCTATGAGACAGAAATGTATTGCTTTTAACTTTGGTTTGGAATGTCTTGTTGTTACAGTGTGCTTCCATACTGTAAGTTCAAAATTAAAAAAAAACCACCATGGTTTGTACAAAACACAAAACAACCAAATTTTCAATTTTTTTAAGTGCCCAAATAATAACACATCAGTCATTGATAAACAGCAGTTTAAATGTCAATGAAATGGAAAAGCATCAACATTTCTACTCTAAATGAAAATGTCGCTTAGACTGTTGATACTATAGTTTCTTTTTTGACTTGCTCCCCTCCTCTCTCCTAGCAGCATCATTCCCCTGTTCATCCTGGTTTTGAGGCCAGGAACTGGACTTTGATTAGTCCAAATGGACTTCGAGGTCCATAATTTGCATGGGCCTCTATAACAGAACTTTTTGAGTACTCCTTCATTCTGAATTTATAAGGTCTGTTAGTAAAAATAATTGCTAATGGATGGGCTCTATCTAAATCAAACTCCTTGCAACCCTCCCACACTTCAGAAGTGCTGAAGACCTCAACTCAGTTCTCTCTTTTAGCAAACACTGCTTTGAATGCAATTACTGTGTAGAGCAAAATACTGCAATGTGATAATTTGATGATGATGATGCTGAAGTGCTGAACCAAAGCAATAATTTTTGGTTAAACCATAATCACAGCACTTCAAAACATTGGTTAATCATGGAAACTTCATATTCAGTGTGGTCTTCTGTGCTGTTCCAAGACATTATGAGAAATGTCCATAAGCAGGCTGACAGGAATGTATTTATGCTGTTATTCACATCTTGTGGCATGCCAGAGGTCATTGACTTGTGGTTTGTTTTGAAAAATTGGCTTCATCAGTAAGACCCAGTGTTTGAAGATGAAATTGTCTGCAGCCCTCTGTTCTCTTTATCGGGAGAAATGAGGCGCCATCTCCAGCTTCATTTCTGTAAAATGTACCCTCTCTTGCCTGTGATTTCTTCCATGACAGTAGTCTGAAGTCACACCTAGAGCATCAAATTGGATGGAATTAAAAGGTGCTGCTAATGAGCTATGGGTACTGAAGGCTACCTGCCTGATGCAATGGCAGCCCGGGTACCAGCCTCTCAGAAGGAAGCAAAGCCTGGCTGACACCGGTGGGTGGGAGAGCTGTGATGGGGATTTATAAGCTGTAGAAGATCTCTCTAAGGGTCTTATTTTACTCTGAGGTTTTTGTGAGCTGGGACTGGACTTTTTGAGGAGCCATGTGAAGGGCTGTGGGTGGCCACACTGTCCTGCTGACCTCACTGGGGCTGTCAGCCCACGCCATGGCTGACACCAGCAAGGCACAAGCCCTGGGCCAGCAGTTGTGAGGAAATAGAAACATCAGCCTGAATTCCCTGAAAGCACAGGTGCAGAGGTTTGAGGGTTGCACGCTTGTGTTGCAACAAGGCTGTGAAATCCGTGGAATGGTCAAACGTGGCAGTTCTTCCCACCTTGAAAAAGGCCTGTAACCAGTGGGGGGGAGTCCACACCTGCTCCCTCTCCACTGACCACAGGGCAGCACAGACAGAGCAGTGTCCACTATGCACCAGCTTTTAGGCAGTGCCATGTTGTGGAGGTTAAACCCATCCACAGGCATCCTCTGAAATACTGTTCCAGCTGGTTGTGCTTCCTGCACTCCTCTGTGCTGGGACACACAGACACACAAAGCCAGCTCAGCTCTGGAAAGGCAGCACAGGGAACTGCTGCTTGCTTGGGTGGTTGTTGAACAGCTGTTTCAGCTATGACATAACTGCTTTTAAACTTCAAAAGAACTCTATTTCTGAGCTGAAAGCATACGGATTGTTTCATAAAAAAGGCAAGGGTGAGATGTTAGCAGGCCGTGTAGCGGGTAGTGGACACAGTGGAATTGCAGAGTGCACATATCATCCTGTCAGCCCCGTCTTCTGCTGACCTTCACTCCTTAGGGGTCCAATACTGCACTTTTTCTCAAGCAATAACCTCATCCATGCCAACAGAGCCTGCTATTCCATCTGCTGGTAGTCACAGTGGAATGTGTTTGCTTTGGGAGTGATTGTGTGCTCCGCTGGTGGGCTCAAAGGACAGATAAAAACTAGTGCCCAGTTCTGCAGAGTAATTTCTATTGAGGTGAATGAACTCATTAGTAAAAGATTCCTTTAAAAAGCTGGGTGTTCTGCAAACCCAATGTGGAGTAGACTTTTTGCGGAGTAAGTGGAGTTCAAGTATGACCAGACACCGCTCAGCTCTGTTTCATGCTACCTGCTGCCCCTGGGAAAACTTTCTGATGCCAGTTGGGACAAGATGAGAGAGTGAAAAAATCATACAGACCAGGCTTGGATGTCTGAAAATCTCACAAAATGCAGAGAATGCCCAGCTTTTTCAGACAGCTGTGAGGCAGCAGGTCACACAGATGCTCTGTGACACTGGAGCTGCACATGCAATTCTGGCCAAAAAAATGTTGGGAATGTTTTGCTGCAAAACCTGATTATTGTCTTAGTGATATATGCAAGGAGAAGGGAAGGGGTTTTACTACAAACAAGCAAACAAACAAGCAGATTCCTGTCTGGAGCTATATCATCAGTCTGCAAGTTTTTCTCTTTCACTGCCATGGGAATCCTTCCGTTCCCATGAAAGATGATTGAAAGCTGCATCTTGCAAACAGCTCTTCTGAATTAAATGGTTGACTTTTATTGATGTTGGCAGCTAGAACATGGCCATGGAAGAGAGGTAGAGGAAAGAAAAGGAGGTGCTGTGTTTAAAAACAAAGAAAAGTCTCCCAACCGCCAAAAGCACCTCAGTGGAGGGATGTCGTGGTGGTTCCAGACTTCGGCAATGAAAAGCAATGATTGCTTAGCTGTTTTGGGGGA